CAAGTTCATTCTTAAGCTGACTTGAGACGGTAAGAAACTGATAACTGAATATGCAGATTGTACTACAGGGCACTTCATCGATTACAAATATCACAAGTAATAGTTTTATCTCGTGCACAGCTGTAAGCGTGCTAGGTCGCACGTGTCGTTCTCATTTTGAACAATTCTTATTACTACTGGATTTCTACAGATTTTATTTGTTTACGTTAACGATTTGAAAATCAATATAATGACATCACACTTTGTTAATCACAAACAAAAATTATCTCTGGTCAACTAGTGAAACGCAATTATTAACTATGCTTCTAATGTACTCGTCTCAGGGATACAATGACCTCCCACTTTCAACGAGGAAGGTTGTCAACATGGAGTCCTGGATACAGTATGTCCACAGAGATAACCATGAGGATATATCCATCAACGTAGTACAAAGTTAGCTATGCCTAATAAATAACTGGTGTTCAAATAAATAAATAATATTTGGTTATTACTTCTTACCCTAATTTGTAAATGACTCGTATAAAATTACACTTTACCAGCTTACTCTAATTCACATCATAACAGTTCTTGTTAACGTAATTTAATAATTTGGAATAGCATCGAAATCACTATGTCCATCATATCCCAGTCAAGCTAACAAGCCACAGTATGGTATGAAAGTCCCTGTGCAACATTCTGGTGTAACGCTAAATGTATAGATTTAAAGCTAATCTAATTTGCCAAAGCTAACCAAACCTTCTGAAATACTACTGGGTTTATGGCCGAAAATGTGGTTAACAATGTGTGCCCAACTGTTGAGACAATGTAACATTATTTTTGTTAGTAGGGATGTGAAAGTGGTATACATGGACTCATTTTTATTTTAAATTTTGTTTTCAATTTACATAGATAGCTTACTTTATGCAAAAATTTGTTAATAATTCAACATATTTCTCTTAATTTAAATCAAATTCAACAACCCCTAAGAAGCATATAATAATAATAATTTGAAATATGCTAAAAATTATAATAAAGAAACATCAAAACATTAGTTGAAGCTTACGTAACAATGTCACAACTTTGAAGCTTTGCTAAGCATGACCACTCCTGCTTGTAACTCATGACCTAGAATCTAGATCATTTTGAACCCTGATAACCTATCACTGTCCACTTCAATAATCTACACATTTATAAACACATGACAGGCAATATATTTTTCAATACCTGTACACAATCAAGGTTATTCGGGTGTTTAAAAGACAACAATCGGTTCACAATGACAACTGAAAACAAAACTGTCTAATTATCCTGTAGTAAGAACATAACCTATGTCACGTTATAAACACATTAATCTTGTGTTAATACATGTTACTAAACACAGTTTAACTCACATTTGCAACAGTTAAGTTGCTTTCATTAATGCCAGCTGTAAAGTAAAAAAATTCATGATATTAAACTATTATTACTAGATGTACTTCTGCAAGGTCCCTGAAAGTGTTCTGTTTCAAGAGTAAATAAAGCACAAATTAGGAATGACAAAAATGTTTACTTCTTGTTTTTGAAGTTCATATGTCATGATATATTGTAGCCTAAAGAGAGTATAATTCCTCTCATGCACATGTGTTGTAGCCTACAGAGTTCATAATTCCTCTCATGCACATGTTTTACTGACATCACAACAGTACAAATTACAACATGAAGTATCCCTTATGTGACATCATTTTAGTGTTTAATGACTGACAGACAACACATTACTGTGTAGTGGTGCAAGTGATTAAAACAGGTGACCCCTTCGAGGCAGCCTATGACTCCCTTTCAGGAAGATTATTTCCATAATTTCAATGATAAGCTTCAGCCGTTAAGTTTTAAATCAAACATCCAGGAAAGACAGAATAAAATAAACAAGGAAACTGTTACTCAAACCATGTCACTTTAAAAGACTGACCACGTGTTGAAGCAAGATAATTGATTGTGTATTTATTTTACCTAGTAAATAATGATCACCAGGGGTGTAATCAGCAGCATTGTCCTCCACATCTTTAACAATAGCCTGTCATTCACCTACAGTCAACTCTACACAGAACACTAGTACAAAACTAATAATTACTCAGAGTGTAAAGATATCTTAAGTTTCAAATCATCGTAGCTTTTAATATTCTCACAGAAATTTAATGTAACAATGTTAGTAACTATGAATCAATATTGATGTATCTAGGCAACCAAATTGATAAATTTTTAGTGATTAATGGCTCACTGGAATGACAAACCTCTGGAGAATCAACCAAAATCACTGATCTGAAGTGTATGGGAGTTAAACCTCAAGCCTTTCAGTGTTCCCCAGTATCTTCTTTGACAGGGAAAAAAATCAGGAACTTTGTGATAAGACAAAGAGTGATGTAAAACACTTTATTATGCAACAGAAAGACACTCATAGTGTTTTTCAAGAAATTAGAAATATTGTTTCTTGATGACTCTACAATCTTCAGTGTTTTTCACTATAAACATTAATAACAATGTGCAGATTCTGTCAGTAAAAAAAGTTAGCAGAGTAAGAAAATTAATAACTAATTGTTCGAAATAACAGTAATATGAAAAATAACAAGGCTATCTGGCAACTCCTAACCTCAATGCACTTCTGAACTTCCTTAAATCTAGTTAAGTCTGTTTATCTACCATTATCAAAATTACATGCCCCCCCCCCTCAAGTACTAAAAAACAAAAGTTTTTTCTCAATTGCAGAGATCAAAGTGTCTGTCCTCTCCAGCAGATCCTGAACCTTAGCATCTAAACACTCAAACTCCTGATGTAGTGCTCTGTTGCTCCCAATATAGAGCTAGCAGATTTTTTGTATTTATAGACATATTGAACATCAGACAGAAGAGGTAATTATCCTTCTACACAACAAATCACTCGCCTCACTGTTAACGGTTTTCTTATCTAAGAAAGGATATCTACTAAAAAAGGGTTCAACAGAAGGCTATTAGGATGATTCTTGGAATGGAAAATTATCTTATTTGGGGGTTATGTTGAGAGCTCTTATATTCTTTTGAGAAAAGCAATGTAAGGGGTGATCTCATTGAAGCTTCTAAAGTTAAGTGAGGGATCAATAAAGCAATGGTTCCTTATTTCTTTGTGTTGAATTCTGATGACAATAGAATGAGAGGACACAAGTTGAAGATTTTTGAAAAGACAGGCTAGGCTCCAGTTAAAACAGATTGATCAGCTTATGGAATGCATTGTCACAAACACTTTAGAAGAGCTTATGACATTAACCGATGATGTCCTAAAAAATAAAGGGTGGGTTTAGTTTTTACATTTCTTATTTCTTGGGGGGTGGATGTGCAAGAAAATCCTTGAAGGAACAAATGGACCCTTGTTTTCCATACATTAAATCTACCTCTAGTTGTTAAATATACATATAAGGTATGTATATATCTAGTCATTAAACATACATATAATATATATATACATATCCAGTCATTAACTATACATATAATATATATACATATCTAGTCATTAAACATACATATAATATATATAAATATCTAGTTGTTAAACATACATATAATATATATATCTAGTCATTAAACATACATATAATATATATACATATCTAGTCATTAAACATACATATAATATATATACATATCTAGTCATTAAACATACATATAATATATATAAATATCTAGTCGTTAAATATACATATAATATATATATCTAGTCATTAAACATACATATAATATATATACATATCTAGTCATTAAACATACATATAATATATATAAATATCTAGTCGTTAAATATACATATAAGGTATATACATATATATATATCTGATCATTAACTATATATATATATATAAAGGTATATACATATCTAGTCATATTAACTATACATATAAGGTATATATATATATATATTCTCAACCACAAAACTATTATATTCTTTCTCTTCCTTCTGTTTATCAACATCCATGACTAACAGGCATGGTTACATTGACTAACAGGCATGGTTACACAAGTTAAAATATATCAAACTCACACCACTAATTTTTCGCAAGCTTTATGCACAGCAAATACAACATTTTATCAAACAAATCAGCACTAAAGAGCCATTGTGCAAGTATTTTTTTCCTATTGGATAAGATTGAGGGAGTCGTCTGTGATAAAAACAACAACCTCTATTACCATGTCTTGAACTGCTGCTGGTAGAAAAACAATTGACCTCTCTCGATTAAGAACTTGGGAACAAACTGAAAACAAATCCCTGTTACATGTTCTGCCCAGAAGACATACTAAGCAAGTAATCAAAAGTAATATAGTGTCTCAAACAGCTCTTTAGAAAAACCAGGAAAGAAGGAATTTTATAGAAGACAAGCACAAAATTAAATAAAGACTTGCAGAAACTAAGATTAAAACAGATGCTGTTAAATCTCATTTGGATGCAAAAAAAACATAATTGTTTCCCCCATGACATGACTTCCCAGTAACCTAGATCACAGCCCCAAAATGAAAATAAAATCACATTAACTCTTTTTGTCCTAACTTTCGTAAAGAGATCATCTTTTTTCCATCACTCCTACCAAGTCAATAAGTGTAAAAAATATACGTGGAAAAAAAGAAATACTGTAGGGGAAAAAAGGGTGTGGTCAAAAGACTGTTCTACTAATCAAGGTTATAAACCAATCCCCTAAATACCCAATCACTCACATAGCACAAATTTGATAAAACATGTCTCATCTATATACTTGTTCAACAAATTCTGGACAATGATAACCAATCAAGTTTTCTTAACCATAATCCAGTTAAATATTTCTTTGTTACGATCACTCTAATGGTGCCATCTCTCCTACAAAAGCCTTCCTGTTAATGTGTTTTGTCTATCAGTAGAATATCCAATGGTTCAAAGTACACAAATTCAAAACTGAATCAGAGGTATTTAAGAAATACAGTGTTTCCTAAAACATTGCACAGAAACATTCTGTTAGCCATAACTTACCAATAATTTACACATGTACTCACCTTTGGCTTCTTATATTTTTTTTGGTTGCAGTGTTGAGATCTTCATGGACTTTGTCCAAGAGCCACAATAGAAACTCTTGAGCATCATGCTGGTTACTTCCTTCATACTGAGCTCCATACTTCGCAACATAGGTTTTGAATTCATTGGATATTTCTGGAAGGTACTGAAAAGTCCAAATTGACTTCAATAACACAACTAGTTGCTCTGTAACTTCACCTTTTGTTCCATATTTCTTTGCATGGATTTTATTCCTTCGTAACAAGTCTACCCTGTAATGGTTCATCACAAAGTATTCTGCAAACATATCAGTATTATTTAAACACTGAATTATTGCATTCATAAAGCATGTATTTCCATGGTTATGAATTCCACAAACTGCTGGAGTCTTTCCTTTTAAAGATGGTTCAGAAACTTCTGACAGTGAAACAGCTGTGGTCCCTGAATCACACACTAAATGTTGAGATCTAATCTCATTGTTTGACGTAGAAGGGTGTTTTGGCTTATTGGTTCCACTAGTTTCAATTTCAGAATTGCATGCATGAGTATTACCAGTGGTTACTGACACATTTAAGGGAATTGCCAACTGAGATAAATGACGCCTAAACAATCTTTTGAAAAATCCGTGTGATTGTTTACCAACAACCTTTTTTGCTTCTTCTTTCTTACTCTTAGTCTTCGTAGTTTTTAAAGATTCGGGTTCTGTTTTACTTTTAGTAAGAGACTGTGATACTTCTTCTTTGTCTTTTTTTTTCTTTCCTCGTTTCCGACCACTCATCAATCTTGGTAGGGTGAAAAAACCAGAAGGTAACGTATGTATTTTCGCACTGTCGGTTAATAAATCACTAGCGTCTATATTTATATCTGTGGCAATTCCTTCTTCGACATCAGCTAAATCACCTTCTGACGCTGACTTTGAACACTTCGATGTTCTCGCGCTTTCTGTCATTATTTTTGGTATCACTTAGAAAGAACAACGTACATATCAAAACTCAACTCATTCATCTAGATTCACCGGCATACATAATACAAACACCGACTTAAACACACAACTAAAACTACCAACCCAAGCCATCATTTACTCTGTACACCACTCACGTTAACTCATTCACAGTTCTCTAGAGGGCGCGCTTACATATATTGTAGGGACCGTATAATTTATTATATTTACCGTTTGATTCTGTAACAAAGCTGAAATAATACCTAAACATAAGTACTCCACAACATATTTAGCATGATTTATTATATCGCAGAAATATTAGTTTAAAAGCCTTATTCCTAGCACTGCCATGATAAATAGCGTTCGATTTCACTGTAAGCCTAGATTTGTGAAATGTATACCATATTTTTTACGAAATGAATAGTTCTGCAGTCGACCATCAGTTACGTTTACTGATTACTTTTAAATTAACTTTATAGTTCAGAAAACTCTTTATAAGTATTACATATAAGACCTTCATGTGTAAAAGACTCATTTACACCAATTATTGCTCACGCATACAAGAATACAATGACTAAGAAAACAAAAATTTGCGATTCACTGATAATAAAACTAAATTGCCATGAGAATTTTCAGTTCTCTGAAATGGTATTAGAATTTTAAAAAACAAACTTCAACATCAAGAAAATGACACAGTTTACGGTCGATTATGTTTTAAATAATAAACTCTTACCGTGTTTAAGTTTAAACAGTTTTAACTGGAAATGCCTAGAAGTCAATACAGTACAGGTAAATAAAATATGTCCCCCTATGGAACAGCGGTAAGTTAGGAACTTACAACACTGAAATCCGGGGTTCGATTTTCCGTGGTGGACACAACGGATAGCCAAATGTGATTTTATTGTAAAACAAACAAGATAACATTAACATTATTTTTTTTTTTACTTTTACTCATAAGTTCTTAGAATTAATGTCTTCATAACATAATGTTAAACATAAAGTGAATAGATAAAACGATACAGTTAAGTGCAATAACATTTATTTCAACTTTAAATAAACATTTTTGATTTAAAAGTAAAAATAAAACCAAAGGTAATATTGTTTTCCACAAAAACCTGTATATTCGAATGACCGTGGTTATACTACAAGAATGTCATTTATGGTCTTGTTTTAAAACTTCAATGACAGTAAGGGAGTGAAAAGGAATGTGGTTTCCCCCTTTTCGGGACACTTATTTTAAGAAGACAGTGAAATATTTGTTTTTAATTCATGTAAAAAGCTTCGAATTCAGCTCATCATTGATCGTATTATTTATCGCTGAACTAGCTCTTAAAATTAAGTCGTCCTCTTAATGTAGAGATGAAACAAACTACGCTCGTAATATTTTTATGAGTGTCTGATTTTTCTAGCGTTGTTGTTTTGTTAGTGTAAAGCTACACAGTTGGGTTATCTACCATTACGGTATACCCTGTCTAAACATTATTTTAGTCTTTTTGTAATTGACTGGCATATTATTCATTATCAACACAGAATACTTGGGTTCTCGGTAGATAAACTCTTGGAATCAAGGACTAGATTCTTGACGATATTTTTACACTTCAATAATAATGAAGTTGAACATGTAGCAATTATTTAAACATAGGGGGAAATTTAAACCAGAATATATGTTAATGCATAAATATAAGACATTATATAATTTATTCAAGTAAAACAAACTGTTTAATAAAATGTCATACTTAGTTTTGATAATTTCAGGGTCAATTATTTTATTAGGCTTACGTTTCATACATTAATCAGTGGACAAATGTTTCAAATGAAGATTCCTTGCGAGTCAAAATATATATGAGTTTGTATTTTCAGTAAAGAAATTGTATTATTAAATAAGTTTCAATAATAATATGGATTGAGCGGATTCTTATGTTTTCAATTTATTAATGTCAGCTAGATACATCTATTGCAATAAATTATAACGAAAAACTTACAGTGATTATAACTCGTATCAGGAACTATTACCAAAGTAGTATTTCGGGCGAAAATAAGGTACACTTTAGTTAAAAGAATTCAAGAAACCTTTTCCTTCAAGATATTGGCGGTTGTGTTAGCTCATCTTTATATAGATTCCAAAGATTTTGGCTTCAAATTTCGTGTTATTGTAATTAATGTAGATTGTACTTGCAATAGTTTGTTTGTTTGAAGTTAAGCACAAAGTAACACAATGGGCTATCTGTGCTCTGCCCACCACGAGTATCGAAACCCGGATTCTAGCGTGGTAAGTCCGTAGACATACCGCTGTACCACTGGGGGGGGGGGGGCACTTGCAACAGACGTAATATGGAGTTATCTTTAATCTCAGAAATTCCATTTAAGTGTTTATCGAAAATGGATTATTTGCTCCCAGTGGCTTAGCGGTAAATCTTGTGGCTTATACTGCTAAAAACTGGGTTCGATACTCGTGGTGGGTGCGAGTGTGTGGTTTTGTGCTTAACAATAAACAAACAAAAACAAAGATGGATTACAAAATACCCAGTAGCTCTCCATCTCATCACTAACTTCATAGAAGACGTGAAGGTAGTCAAAAAATACTTTAAAAAAAAGCAGAATTTAATGTGTTACTATGATCAAAATATATGTCAATATAAAGGACAGTATTTTGAAACAAAATAGTTCTACTAAACTCCTTCATTATGAAATAATCAAACCGTCATTTCAGCCGTAGATGCATCATAATGTAACAGACGATCTCACTATTCGTTGGTAAAGAGTTGACCGAGAGTTGGAGGTGGTAGCTTTTAACGACTATATCTAGCCTTTATAGTTGCAGTTCTACATGACCTCTAAAGTGTAAGTGGATGTTTTAACATTCAACAAATTTAAAGTGCTAGTAAAATCAATAAAAAATAAGATGTCAAACAATTAATATTCTTATGTCTGTGTTCGTTTGTTGATTTTCCGTAGAAATTCTTACAGAAGAAACTTCTGCGATACAAGTCCTTTCTTAAATAAAACTAGTTTATTCTTTCTCAATACAACTTTGCAATACGCTTAATTTCCACAGTCAATTTAACTTCAACACACGCTAGAATTCACAACGATTCACGCACTTTACTTACGGCTTGACTCGATTATCTGTCTCTAATTTAATTCCGATTAATTAATTTGGCTTTATCTGGCGCACTTATATACAAGAATAGAATAGACCAGAGTTGCCACGAACAGACATGATCCTTCTAGAATATCATGACGTGTTACTAGAGTCACGTGACTT